TCTGTTCACAGATTTTAGCTTGTATTTTTCTAATTTTAGCTTCTGTTCACAGATTTTAGCTTGTGTTTTTTCATTTTAGCTTCTGTTTACAGCTTTAAGCTTGTATTTTTCTCATTTTAGCTTCTGTTCACAGATTTTTGCTTGTTTTTCTCATTTTAGCTTTTGTTCACGGCTTTTAGCTTGTATTTTTTCCAATTGTAGCTTTTGTTCAGATTTTTGCTTGTGTTTTTTTTCATTTTAGCTTTTGTTCACGGCTTTTAGCTTGTATTTTTTCCAATTGTAGCTTTTGTTCACAGATTTTAGCTTGCGTTTGTTTCATTTTAGCTTCTGTTCACAGATTTTTGCTTGTGTTTTTTTTTCATTTTAGCTTTTGTTCACAGATTTTAGCTTGTATTTTTTCCAATTCTAGCTTCTGTTCACAGATTTTAGCTTGTATTTTTTCCAATTCTAGCTTCTGTTCACAGATTTTAGCTTGTGTTTGTTTCATTTTAGCTTCTGTTCACAGATTTTAGCTTGTTTGTTTCATTTTAGCTTCTGTTCTGTTCTTTAACAAATGTCAGCACTGTTCTTCTCAGCACTCAGCTGCATTTGATGAAATAATWCAGTTTTTATGAATAAGATTTTTATATATTTTTGTTATTTGTAGGTAAATTAATTAATGACAATGTGTCTCAAAGTTTTGTCTGAGTTTGTTTGTTTGTAAAAAGCAGACGTCTGTTAAATCTGTCAGATCTTCATTAATAAATCTATGAGTGCAGGTATTGGAGATGGTGAAAAATGAAGTGTAAATGTGCTGAGAGTCAGAACAGCTGTCACTCAGTCCCTGTTACACTGAAGAGGAACTCTGATTGTAAAACAGAGCTGGAGTGTTTCTTTTCTCACAGACCAAAATGAAGCGTTTTAGTTGAAGCAGCTTCACTTTAATTTGCATCACATGAGAGATTTCTGTTGCAGAAAGACTTCCTCCTCACACAGAGAGCACTCAGGAAAACACTCCTGAAAGTGACGCGTTTGTTTCCTGCAGGTTTGAAACTTATGAGTTTGATGAGTTTGATGAGTTTGATGAGTTTGACGAGTTTGACGAGTTTGACGAGTTTGACGAATTTGATGAGTTTGACGAGTTTGACGAGTTTGACGAATTTGATGAGTTTGACGAGTTTGACGAGTTTGACGAGTTTGATGAGTTGGATGAGTTGGATGAGTTTGATGTGTTTGACGAGTTGGATGAGGTGGATGAGTTTGAGTTTGATGTGTTTGAGTTGGATGAGTTAAATAAGTTAGATGAGTTTGACGAGTTTGACGAGTTGGATGAGTTGGATGAGTTTGATGAGTTTGAGTTTGATGAGGTGGATGAGTTGGATTAGTTGGATGAGTTGGATGGGTTGGATGAGTTGGATGAGTTTAATGAGTTGGATGAGTTTGATGAGTTTGATGAGTTTGATGAGTTTGAGTTTGATGAGGTGGATGAGTTGGATTAGTTGGATGAGTTGGATGGGTTGGATGAGTTTGATGAGTTGGATGAGTTGGATGGGTTGGATGGTTTGGATGAGTTTGATGGGTTGGATGGGTTGGATGGGTTGGATGAGTTTAATGAGTTTAATGAGTTGGATGAGTTGGATGAGTTTGATGAGTTGGATGAGTTGGATGAGGTGGATGAGTTGGATGAGGTGGATGAGTTGGATGAGTTGGATGAGTTGGTTGAGTTGGATGAGTTGGATGAGTTTGAGTTATGAGTTTGATGAGTTGGATGAGGTGCATGAGGTGGATGAGGTGGATGAGTTGGATGAGGTGGATGAGTTGGATGAGTTGGTTGAGTTGGATGAGTTGGATGAGTTTGAGTTATGAGTTTGATGGGTTGGATGAGGTGGATGAGTTGGATGAGGTGGATGAGTTGGATGAGTTGGTTGAGTTGGTTGAGTTGGATGAGTTTGAGTTATGAGTTTGATGAGGTGGATGAGTTGGATGAGTTGGATGAGTTTGATGAGTTGGATGAGGTGGATGAGGTGGATGAGTTGGATGAGTTGGTTGAGTTGGATGAGTTGGATGAGTTTGAGTTATGAGTTTGATGAGGTGGATGAGTTGGATGAGTTTGATGTGTTGGATGAGTTGGATGAGTTGGATGAGGTGGATGGGTTTGATGGGTTGGATGAGTTGGATGAGTTGGATGAGGTGGATGAGTTGGATGAGTTTGATGGGTTGGATGAGTTGGATGGGTTGGATGGGTTGGATGAGTTGGATGAGTTGGATGAGTTGGATGAGTTTGATGAGTTTGATGAGTTGGATGAGTTTGATGAGGTGGATGAGTTTGATGAGTTGGATGAGTTGGTTGAGTTGGATGAGTTTAATGAGTTGGATGA